TGTTCTGATTAGGACATAGGTCCATGTGGAACCACAACATGGCTTACCCCCGGGGGCTAGATGACATCAGGGGAATGCCTTCCCTCCCCAACCCTCTCCCAGGTTAATGAGGAGTTTTTCTGACATGCTTCTTCTGTCACCAGCTCACAGCACCCCAGTGCAAGGGAAAGAAGGTTCAGTTAAAAGCCTGCCACCTCTTCCAGCTGGGTTTGAAGAAGAAAGCCCTGCTGTGACCCCTGATCAGTGATAACAGCAGGGTTTCCTCCCCCAGCACTAGAGAAACACTGCCTTTCTCCAGCATTGGGAATTCCTGCTTGTTTCTCTCTAGTCACTGAGCAAAAATAAAAGCAGGGTTATCTTCCTTTCTCTCCAGCACTGGGACAGCTTGCAGGGCCTCGAAAGGAACTTGCCAGATTCAGCCTACAGGCTGAACACTTCAACAACACTTGGAGCTCAGTCTTCCATGCCGGAGACAAAATCCTGAAGAAAAAGATTGCCTTTGTTTGCTTTGCCATTTATAACTTAGCCGGAACTACTGAGAATCCTTCGTGAATATAGCATCTCCTTCATTTCTCAGCCTCTGCTAGGATTCCATTTCATAGTCACATTTGCTAGTTTTACTTTTTTGTTTATTTACTATTTCTGTTAGTGATTCAAGGATGGAAAATGTAGGAAGGAGGAAAGTTTATGTTTATGTATTTTGTCATTTAAAATTCTGTTTTGCAAACTGCCTGAAGAACTTTGGTTATTGTGGGGTATAAAATATATGATATGGGATGCCCTCCTGGGCATTTTGTAGGGCATACATTCATTCATAGGATTGCCATAAGTCAGAGAACACTTGATTGTAACAGCAACAACAAACGGAAGCATGCGAAATAGAAGCAGTAAATCAGTCAATAATTTGTGAGTACCCATAGCCAAAGCTCTCAGGATGTGGTGTGTGTGTGGGTGTTTAAATATATTAGATAGATAGATAGATAGATAGATAGATAGATAGATAGATAGATAAGAAACACAGTAACATCTTGTTAAATACAGTAAAGTCACAGACAGTGTATCTTGGCCAACGCTTAGATATCAGACACGGAGTTCGAGAGAGTTCCGTGGAGGTAAACAAGATCATAGACACCACTTTAAGTGCCAAAGGATACATCCTTCAAACATCATATGACACAGATAAACACAATTTGATTATTCAACTCAATGTAAGCATTTGTGGCTCTCATTCAGATCAAGACCATCATATTTTGGATGGGGAATTTAAGCTTTCCTCCTTTTTTGTCCTCCCAGTTCCACCTCCCTGTAGTGGAAGTTTTGGAATGAAAACAGGAGACAGATAAATTTAAATTTTCCCCTCTTGGGGTGCAATGGTCCCAATTCAAATTGGGCCCATGTGTCTTTCCACTTTGGTAAATAATCCAAACAGAAAAATGTGTGGTTTGTCCATAAAAGACATGTGAACAGTAGGTTATAAAGTAAGTTCAAGGCCCAAGTGAATAAATAGTGTCTGCCCAACACTTAAACCGTGTTGGAAACTACGGTTTTGAAAGATATGTGGTATTGCATCGGACCTCCCATATCTTTATCTCTTGATAGAAGGAGATGTGGTTCATTCAATGTGATTCCCATTCATTTCAATAGATCTTTTCTAAGGAGAACTAACATTGGATACAACCCGTCAGATTCTAAAATGCAGTGGGCAAATGGAGCACTACCGTTTGACGTACGGTTCTTTTATTGTAATTGGCTGCTGACTGGAACATTGTTAGAAGGAAAAGAATTGAAGAATGAGTGGCTCACAGATGCTATTTCTCAGTCTGCCAAAACCAATGAAATATATGGTGCCCTGTATAAAAATGAAGTGACGAGCTGAAATGAAGATGTTAATGAAATTAAATGTTAGGGTAGTTTAATCTGGAAGATAGATGACTGTATGCCTATAGATAACTGTATGGGCTAAATGTTTTAATGACAGAAATTAGAATACAGAAATAGCAGAATCATTTGCACTGATGTAGAGCAAATCATTTGACATCAACAGGTATTTATAGCAGTTCCTCACAATACAGCCGCACTGTAACTGTTCCTCATGGCTACCCTTTTGTGTATACTAGCCAGAAAGATCAGCCTTGGTTTGGCTGTTTTCACCCAGCTACCAAATGTGAATGATGAGTAATCTGTCAGCATGAAGCGAACCACATTTGGGTGACCTTTGTGGTGAACCAGTGGCTCATGGTATGTAAGCAGTTTTAATTGGTGCTGAATTGTGAAAATCTGACTTGCATAAAATAGGAAATACACAAGGTTACACAGGCCGATGCTTCTGTTCATGAGTTAAAGTAAGTACTGAAAGCCAGCAGAGTTGAAGTTTAGTGGATCATCCAAATCCATACTAGTTGTCTTTCACTGTAATAGTTTAGCTTGTTTAGCAAGCAGAAGCAAGAGATAAAAGCAGATTTGTTAATATCTTGTTGTGTTATTGTAGTCATTGTTATTTTACAGTTGCTTGGGGCTTTTATGGCTATAAACTGTCCTAAACTCATCTGTCAGTTGGGCAGCATAGAAATAAAATAAAAAGCAAACAATGCAGTTCACCCATTATTTCCCGTTATAGAACTTGACTGATGTTTTTAATGAATTGGCCTGTTTGACTCTTTGCTGTTTACCTTGGATCATGTTGGAAAGCACTCTGGAAAGAATAGCATAGCTCTGTAATACAATATGAAACTCAGGTAGATAGACACAGAGATATAAAATCGTTGTGATGGGAAAGCTTTTTTCATGAAGAACATGCTGCAGCCACTAGCAGAAAGTACTTCATGTAATTTTCCTGTTCACATTGCTAGTGTTACATTGAACACAGCCCTGTATGGCTATTTTATGTTAACCCACTATAGGGTTTCTCCTTGGTGTCCTACCCTCAACACCTTATGAGGCTTAACAGGAAGCTTGGAGATGAAAGGACTCTGAAATAATCACCTTGTGTTATACCTGATCAACTTATTAAACTGTATTTGTCTCTCTGGAATAGTTAATATTTTTGTAAGAGAGAGACTTACAATAAACTCTGTTGATTAAGTTTTTTTCTTATAAAACAGCATAACTATGCTAGTCACCACATTCTAGGTGTCTATACAGAAATGGACTAACTGGATAGTCTACTAAGCTACTTACCATTCAAGTTTATTTTCTCATGTATATGTAGCATGAGACACAGTTTTTCTTTTCTTTTCCTTTTCCCAGTGGCTGGACTTTGGAAGACAATATTGTTGATGCCTTTGCCAATACAGAAAATAGTGTGTTTCCACTCCAGTTACAGTTTTAGAACTCTTTTCAGAATGGTACTCTAAAAGAAATGAAACCAAAATAATCAGTGTGACGGTATGAAGAAAATATGCCCCATATATAGCACTATAAAACTGCCGTTACTTGCTGTGGTGGAAAAGAATCAACTTTGAAAGGAAATCATTTCTCACTGGCAAATGGAATTTCTTTCAGCAAACTGACTTTTCACTGTTTCCAACCAAGTGTCAACTTCTTTGATTATGGAGTCTGAAAGAGATGTGGTGATAGGGCTTGTTTGTTTTTTTCTTCACATTGCTCTGTGCTTTTCATGTTGATGTTGAAGCTTCATGCAGCTGTGGCCCAAGGTTGCTGGGAAGGGTGTCCTTTCAGATCTAAGATATCTCTTACATGGGCAGAGATTCAGCTGATTTTTACAATTGCTCATATTTTACTCATTCGGGGAGCCAACTTGTAGTTGTGGATACAATGCCAGATTTCGTTTCTATATACGCCTTTTCAATGCTAATGTCTGGGGGCAAATGATGATGCCTTTTGCAAGGGGCAAAAGTTTCTGATTCCCAAGAGGTGTGTGCTAAGTTTTCCATATGCTAGAAAATCACAACATTAATACTCTTTCATTTCTCTGACTTCTCCCACAAAGTCCTACTTATCCATCTATTTTTCTGTCTTAAAAAAAGAGTACATAAGCTTTTGCCCCATATCCTTTCCACTCCATAATAGTTTTTCCTCACCTACCCTCCCTCTCATTCTACCCCTTAGTAAATATTCAGCTTGGGGCCCAGCTATCTAAAGGACTGTCTGCACCCATATATACCTACCCTTCCATGAGAACTACCCCTCAGGGAGATGAGATGGGTGGCAACTAGGCGAAAGGCCTTTCCTGCTGCTGTTCCCCATCTCTGGAACTCCCCCCCTTGGGAAATTCACCTGGCACCATCCCTATTTTCCTTTCAGCGTCAGGCAAAGACATACCTTTTTAGGAATTTTTTTAACATTTAGCCTGTATGCTGTGGCCCTTTTTAACTGTTTCTGGATGTTTAATTCATTATGTTTTAATTGGTTTTTAATATGTTTTTACCCTGGTAGTATGTTTTGCATTGTAAGCTGCCTAGGAAGGCCTCGGTAATTATAGGTGGCCTATAAATATACGTAAATAAATAAATTGTGCTTAACAATTCAGTGTTATGAAGCTGTTCCAGCAGTAGTCATAGCATGACTGAAGTACGTGAAGTAGCATTATACATGCGCTAGCAAAGCAGCGTGGTTCTGTACAATTGCAAAAGCCGCTACCTTGACCGTGGTCACATTTAAAGCTGCACTGGTACACAAAGCACTGTATGGTTGGGTAGAGTGTAAGGAGGAAAGAGCAATGAAGAAACACAAGGGATACTTTTCTGAAACACCATCCTAAAAGTTTTCGTGAGACAGCGAAACCATCAGAACTCCACATATTAAAAGTATACCATTATACAATGGAATTGCTAAGGACAGGCAACACGGTATGACAAATCCTGTACAAAATACCATTACTAGAATGCAGACATACTGTGCATCATGGAATGTATGTGGGCTCTTAGAATCAGAATTCTAATTGCATAAATAAATTTGTTTCCATTTATGGGTCCTTCTTAGGAACGTCATTAAAACTTACAGTGTGCCAAAACTCTGCTAATTTCTTCTTTTAATTTTAGGTAATACTGCCAAGGTGTTTATTGAAGTTCAGGATGAAAATGACCATGCTCCTGTCTTTACAAAAAAGCTCTACATAGGAGGCGTGTCTGAAGATGCTAGAATGTTTTCCTCTGTGATGAAAGTGAAGGTGGGAATTACGTTAAACAAGTACACTACTGAGATCCAGAACACTTTGTACCCTTAAGATTGTATATTCATTGTTATATATATTCCAACATTTTTCCTGCATATACTATCAAGTATCTGGATGCATACATATTTTGATATAGTCATTCATGGAAGACTGGTTTGATGGAGACCACAACACTGGTTTTATTATTTTACTCCTAAAGAATGAATTATTTCAGAGGGGAAAAGAACTTGAAGTTGGGGGGATTGTGCACACTAGTATATATTTAATCAGTTTTCAAGTCTGAAGGAGATGGAGATGGAGTGACAACAGCCTTTGATCCTCCAGTATACTTTGGGATGCATTTTCCTATGTTGTTCATCTTGTATTTTATACAGATGACTTGGGAAGACAACTGGCTTATTGAAAAATGGCCATAAAAGCTTGACCTTCCAAGAACTTTCTTTTATTTGGCACTGATTTAGGGAGCTAGAAATCTAATGGAGAATGGCAGGTAGCCATTAAAGATAGCAATATTTTTTCCCTTTTCATGTTAACTTAGAAGTATAACAGTTTAAAGTTTAGAGATGGAAAGTGGTTATTTCTCATAATTCAACTTTCCTAACCATCTAGCCAGTGGCAACATGAGGGGGAAAAAAACCTACTGGGATGAAAACTGCAAAGACACAAAGGGCATACTCCTATCCATGTTGAAACTGGGGGGAGGATGGTGAGGACCCTTAAACTATCGTAAATGTGTTTCAGAAATATATAATCACTGGACCTAACCATATTTATTATCAAAATATTTGAAGAATGAGAAGTTTGTAGTAATGAATAAAATATAAGTAATCAAGGATTAGAGAATTGTTATAAAGGCTGCTCCAAAGGTACTCTCCATCTCTCATTTCTGCTTGGTAGGGTGGGGTTGGGTTTTTTCAGGAATAATAATATAGAATATTCCCTGAATCAGTCACATGGATGGCACCAGCCAACTGAAAATCATGCCCTAAACTGAATGGTGTCACAATATTACCTAGCCAGTCAGATTTGAGCAAACAACTGTTGCTGAGCACAGACAAAGTAGCGATGGTGAAACTGAAGAGAGAGAAGAGGTTGCCGTTATTCTCAATAGCATAGTGAGTGAGTGAGTGTGTGTGTGTGTGTGTGAGAGGGAGAGATGGAATTATTGTTACAGTAACCACCCCTCACATCCGCCTTGGCCGGAGCCAGGAGAACCTCCATCCTCTCAGGATATACTTGGGGTACAGAAAGGTCCAAGCTGACTCCCTCTATTTCAGCCCCCAAGCCTGAAATTTTGTCTAATAGTAACTAGCCATGCAAATGGTTCTCAGTTTAGTTCTGAGGTCTTCAAGAGGTAGAGATGAAGTTTATCTATGTAAGTGGAAAGGTGAAACAGAATCAAAGAAACCTTAATAACATTGCTCCAGGCAAAAGCAGCAAAGTAGTGCCTAGCACTGTCCTGATGTCTAGTAATATCTATTGTTTGATCCTGTACTTGAAGTTTTTCACATTTTTCTTTATAGAAATATATAGACCATGGGGGTGCAATCCTGAGCATGTATACTTGTATATTCTGAGCATATATACTGAGCCCTATCTTGCTCAGCAAAATTCACTTCTGATTAAAACTGCTTAGCATTCCACTGTAATTAAAGAACCAGAAATAGAGGTGGATTTTCCTCTACCCTGGAAGTAGTTACAGTCTAATTCCAGAACAATTCCAAATGGTGTTTGTTTATTTTATTTATCATATTTAAGGTGGTTTACAGAATCTTCCTCTCAATCTTATCCTCAAAACAGAACCCTGTGAGGTAGGTTGGGCTGAGAGCCTGTGACTGGCCCAATGTCATCCAGTGAGCTCCATGGCTGAGTGAAGACTGGAACCAGTCCAGCACTCTTAACCGCTACACCACACTGGTTTGGTACTGGATAAATCTAAACAGCTGTGTGCAGGAATCCAATAGCTTTATAGTCATTAGTTGTATATAAACCATGGAAATGGCCACCAGTAAAACAAACTTAATTGTAAATATATTCCAGGTTCACATACAAAAACAGAAAGCAGAAAGCAACAATTTATTTGACAGAGCAATCTTAGGACATTGTCTAAGCACTTGAGTTTACTTTTCCTGCCCAATAGTAAGCATTCATTTTGCAGAATGTAAATTACTGGAGAGGAAAGCTTTAGGCAGTATCCAGCACTGCTGCTCCTCTTATGCTGTTGACATAATACTAGGGCAAACAACCCCTGGCAGTACACCAGTCATGTAAGCTGGTGCGACACGATTTCTACAGAAAACCCCTTGTGACAGCTTATGATACTGACCTATCACTAGATGGCCACCAGGATGCCTTTAAAAATGAATTGGGCAAGTTGATGGAGGATAAGGTTATCAATGAGTACAAGTCCTTATGGCTATATGTTATCTCCAGCAGCGTCATTATTATCATAGTAGCAGTATAACCCACCTGTTTCATCTTGCAAGGAGCCATGGTTCCCCTCACAACAACCTGAGAGTCAGTGACTCACTCATAATCACCCAGTGAGCTTCACGGTTGAGTGGGGACTAGAACCTGGATCTCCTGAGACCCAGCTCAGCACCCTAACTTCTGTGCCACACTGGTTCTGACCAATCGTATGCCCATGTACTCCAGTTGCTGGGAAACATAGGCATCTTAAGGGTTTCCCATGGGCAGCTGGTCGGATTGGATTAGATAGGTGTTGATCAGACCCAGCATAGTACTTCTTATGCTGTTGCGTACAGGTTACTTAAGTGTAAATAGAGCAACAGCATTGATAGTGCCCATAATCTCTCCATAGCATTGTCTTTGTAAATATGCAGCAAGGAAGTACAAAAACCTACAAGAAATGATCGATATTACTGTTTATTTCCACTTCAATAATTCATGTTGCTAAAAGGCAACATACAACAAGAAGACAAAATTTTAAAATTACTAGAACGCCCTGCAGTGTTTGTGTGACTAGGCTAGAGTTTCATCAAACAGGCTGGGAAGCAATCTTTTCAAAATGAAAAATGGGTTTTTAAGAAATCATTAAAGTTCTACCTAGTAATTTAGGATTCTGTATTATACAATTGTACTTATTACATTGGACAAAGCAGTAACTCAACATCTGCCTTTTTCAGTTAATTCTACTTTGGCTCTGAAGTTTAGAATTAGAATTAATATTGGTATCAAAGAAATTAATTGCATACTTATAGTTATTTTTGATAGTTCCTTTGAATGTAAAAAGCTGTGCCATTGTAAATGTAATGGAAAAATCATTAAATGTGCACATTTTGAAATAAGACGTAAGGAAAGAAATACCTGATCTCTTAAAATGAAAAAAAAGATGATCAAAAACTTTGCTGAGGTATGGATGTTTCACACTTATTGCTATCCTGTGGGTTTCTCAGCAGTAAGACTGCATGTCACTGACAATGATAAATCTGAGTGAAAACTTGAAAACAACCAATTAGGAAATACAGACTGTACCACAGATTCTTGAGGTACGATCTTAACTCTTCAAAGCATTTGTATTCAGCATTGTGAATGCAGCTTTTAACCCTCAATTTGGATAAATTTAGAAGCAGTGATATAAATTTAGAATGTAATTTCGAAGTGTGTTTCTGAGCCTGGATGTTCTTTAATTGATGCATGTAAGGTCACAATGATCATTTATTCAAATTAGCATCCATTTACTGCACACATGCAAAAATCAGCATCATGAGATCTAAGCATAAAAGGCTAAGCTATTCAGATTCAGTGTAGTACTACATACATTTGGTGAGCAGTTACAGATGAATGCAAACTTAGCATATTGGCTTAACGTTGAACTGTATCATCCTTCTCTCATCTCCAGTCCTCCCCTTCTCACAGGAGCAGGTAAACCACTTGGCTTCAGGCAAGAACCTGAGACTAACATAGCTGGCACATTCCACAGTTATCTGCTGTCCCTAGTACTTATTATTATTATTATTATTATTATTATTATTATTATTATTATTATTATTACTACTACTACTACTACTACTACTACTACTACTACTTTACTTAATTGAAAGGGGTGTGGTGTGTCCCCATCGTTGTTTCCTTCCCCCTCCAATCTGCTCTCTCACTCACAGCCAGAGGCACACACAGTGACGACATCATCATCATCATCATTCGAAAGGTAATCCAGGGACTCCAGTATGGACTGGGGTCATAGCTTGGGGCTTGGACCTTCCCCTTGTTGTGGTCCCATTCTGGATAACCCCCAACAGAGCTGCAATATATACTTATTCCTAACTGGATCACTGAGTTGTCATTTGTTGCTCAGCTGGATTTGGTAGCCAGGAATACTTTTTCCCAGCTTTGGTTGGCCTATCAGCTGTATCCCTGCTTGGATGAGTGGAGTCTTTCCAAAGTCATCCACACAGTAGTAACCTCATGCCTGGATTACTGTAAGGTGCTCCACATGGGGCTGCCTTTGAAAACGGTCTGGACACTGCAACTTGCTCAACATTGGACAACTCGCCTGCTGATGAGGACTGGTTTTCGCAAATATATCATGCCAGTCCTTCACAGGCTACATTGGCTGCCAGGTGCTGTCCACGCCCAATTCAAAGCACATAGGATAACACAGAAAGCCAGAAATGGCTTGGGGTCAGGATATCTGAGAGAAAGCCTGTCTCCATATGTCCCAACCCGATCACTGAGATCTTCATCAGAGGCTCTTCTCCAAAACTCTCCCCTCAATGAAGTAAAGGGTAAGATGGCCAGGAGAAGGGCCTTTTCTGTGGAATTCCACTTGTGGAATTCACTTCCATTAGAGATCCACCAGACATCTTCTCTCTTTTCTTTTAGAAGCCAATTAAAAAAATTCTTTTTGGTATCTATTTTGCTGAATGAGTTGACTTGGCGTTATGGTTCTTATATTGGTTTTATTCTGATACTGCCATGTTATGAATTTTAGCTGCCAGACAGTTTTCCTTTATTTACAATTGTATTCTGTT